TATGTTAGTTCCATTTCCTGTCCTGATAAACCTATACTACAAAGTCCAAAAGCACTTCAAGTTATCAAATTGCCTTTGATTACTTAAGTCTAAATAATATATCAACCGTTCATCAGCCTGAAGAAGAACTTTTAAGGTATTCCACTGCTGATGTTTTTTTTTCTCAAAAAAACTCCAAACCTGCCCTATTTTTTTCCATATTCTGTGTTAATGTAGTTTAATAATTGGTTCTCTGTACTATAATTCCTTATTTTCCATGCATTTCTTGATACTTAATTACACAGAGACTGAAATTTGAAATTAAAGCTGATGTATTGAGTATATTACTATATCTATCTAAATACATTTTACAGAAAAAAGATAAGAGATTCCAGGAGTTCTGTTAATCCTGTTCATGCTAAATTTCCACTGTTTTATGACATAATTTGATACTCTGCTAATATAGTTGCGCTTATGGGAAATAGGCAATGCAAAACCAGGCCTCTGTTTGCTTATTAGCTGCCAAAACATCTCTGTTACCATGTACAGTAGAAGTTCTATAGATAGGGTCCTTTTGAGATACGTGTTTAAACCATTGTTTATTTGAAGGCCACATTTGCTGCTAATGTAAGCGTGGACAAATTTATACTTATAACAAGAAATCTGTCTGAGAACTGATACAGTCTGACATCATTGAGTGGTGTAAATTTGCAAACTCAGTGAATGGTTCTAGGATGAGCTTCTTTAACATGGAGTACACTGGCTCTTCCTGCAATCATTCACTAAATGGGTTTGTGCTCACATAGAACTTTGACCTATGACATCCTCACTAAAATAGCCAAATAAATCAAGGTAATACGTTTTGTGAGTCATAAGTCCTTCAGTGCCTTTTTTTGTAACTATCAACATTTAGTTAATTTTCTGATCCTCAGCCAGGAGAAAGTATCCTACAGTGTAGGTCTTGTTTTCTTCCTGCCCCAAGAAGAGACTGCTTTCTTTTATGGGTTCAGGAGTACTCAGCTTTGGAAGCAGTTGTTGAATTTTCCCTGATGCAGGCTGATGGGGAAAGACCAGTCCAGTGGAACTGTCTGCATCCTTTCTTGGGGCCAGGTAACCTTTGGACTCTAGAAACTCTTGCAATATTTTCTTTTTAGCTTTGTACAAAGACCTTTCACCCGACTAAGACAGCTGGCTACAAATCTAGCATCCCCAGGGCATTCCTGAGTTTTCTTAGCTGAGGATAGGATGGATATATCTTACTTTTATATTTACTGAGCTTTCAGCAACTCCAGCATAGCAAACAAAGGCCTTCATTACTATTAGTATTGTCATGACTCTACTAGGGGGGTTATCTGCGTATTCTTATTTCATCTGTGTATAAACAATTATACAGAAACATTTCTCATTATGAATGAGCAAGTAATAATGTGATGTCAAAACCCCAGCATTTATGATATAATTACTAAATACTAAAAGTATTCTGGCTTCACAAGACAGATGGGTATGTTTGAGATTTTAGCAGGTGTTAAATTCAAAGTGGATTGCCACTGGCTGCTTTGGATCTTACTTTGACGTTATTACTAATCTGAACTAGTTTGCTTAATATTTCTGTTGATGGCTGATATCCAACATGAAGATGGGAGGATCTGCTCCTAAGTAAATATGAGCAGTGGCCTTAAATTACATACTTAAATTCACACACAGGTCAAATTCTGTAAAACGCAGTGCATGCTGTAGGTAGTTTCGCCCAGTCAATATTTTTACCTTTTACATGCTTACATGTATAAAACATTCTAAAAGAGGTGTTGACAATTTGTAGAGCAACAAATGAGAAGACTGTGATAAGCATAAGCTGATAAATGCTTCATGAAATAATGTTTTAAAATATGTTTGTTATCACTTGAGATCTCTTTAAAAAAATCAATTTTTCAGCCAAATAGAAAGAAAAAGAGAAAACTTTAAAAATATAGTTCAGTGGTGGGTTTTTGTTATTATGTTTAGGGTAAATGTGGCCTAAACCACTGATGGGCTAGGACATTATTTTTTTTTTATTATGTCGTCCTCCTTTTCAGTCTTTCCTGAATTCTCTAAGCTACAAATCTCTAGGTGTAGCAGAAAGGAAAATGTTTGCCTTTCTGTATGAATTGAAGAGACAAATGTGTAAGATTAAATTTTGAATAAAGTGAAAGGATACAGTAAAGAATGGCAAACATGCTGTCAGTAACTTGCAGCCAGTTGTGCAAGGCATCATTTATCATGACAAAATCATGATGAATTTCATACAAAGCACATTTGTGCTTTTTTACGGTTTAATTATTTGAGTAATTTGACATTTTAGTCCCAGAGTTCTGGTAATGCACCTGTCTTATCTGAAAGACATCTCACAAATCTCTTCTTAAATTTAGACAAGTAGGAATAATAGGAAAATATCTTCTCAAGCAAATACATACTTCTCTGTTGTGTACAGGGGTAGGGAACAAAGTTAGCTGTTCTGAAAATCTAGTTGCATCTTTATTACAATTGCTTTTTCCCTTTCTTCTGAATTTAAAATCTCCCTATCATATCCTTAGGTGTGTTTTTTTCTTCCTCCCCCACAGGTATTTATGTTCTGTGCAGCAATCTGAAATAGCTGGTTTTGCTACCTTGATCAGAAGGAGCTGAAACCATGGATGGATAGAAGAGAGCTGTATTCAGGAAAGGTATGGAAACCTTTTGTTTAATTCTGATCCTCTCCTCTCAGCTGCAGAGATATGGTGTCACCTGGTGCAGGTAACACAGTAGAGCCTGACCTAAACATGCTTTGAGCACCTCAGTTTTTTGAAGTTGAGAAGCTTTAAGTTCTTAGCATTATGTGTAATCTGATCCCTAAATATTGTATGTGGATGGATTTCTAAGTGTGTTGTTACTGTTTTGGAGTGGTGTGCAGTTTAGTTGATCTTGTCCAATTAAAAAAAAAAAAAAAAGACCTGGATATGCCAGAAGGGAGGATACTTAAGTTTCTAAGATGTAAATGGTACAAATACTAAGATGAAAACAATGCCTTCTAAAATGTGTGAAAGGCTCAATATATTTCTAGAATATATGTACTTCCAGAAATATGTATGTACCTGGTAGTGTATGCATACATCCAGAGCCAGAAGTTGGTCAGCATTTTCATGAAACAAATTTCTGCGCCTTTTGTGTCCGTACTAGTAAACATATGTTGGTTATAGAATATCATCCAAGCTGAGGCTGGAGGGGAAGACCGTCTCTAAAAGTATTCTTAGTATGTTGAATGCTTATGAAATCTGCCTATAGGTTAAGCTATGGAACCATAAAAAGAAAATGTTGCTTGAATATCTTCTTATATTCTCACTTTAATCATAAATGGAATTGTAGGGCAGAATATAACTTAAAAATTCTTGCACTGAAGAGTATCTTGTTCTGCAAGTCTCAGTGATTTTTAACATGGTTACTCTTGACTAAAGTACTCCTCAGTATATGGGTAGAAAGATCTGGTCCCTGATATTTAGAACACAGTCTATGGGAAATGTAACGTGTTTGCAGTTTTCATTTTTAAAGTATTTAAATTGGCTAGCATGGCTTATAGATTACCATAAAATTGTAAACAACCTAGATAGCAAACAAAAATGTGACAGTCTTTTCCTCTCTCTAATCCATTTTCTTTTTCCTCTCTGAGTAAACTTCCTCCCTTCTTTCTCTTTACATAGACTGAGTTTTTAATGGTTCCTGCAACCATTCTCATGAAAAACTGGAGAGAACCTGGAGTTGTACGTGCAATGTATGCAGCTTGCTTTTCTTGTTATCAGGCTTTATTTCATGTGTCTGCATCATTATGGTTATGACAGAATTACTGTTGTGGTGAGCGTCCTGACTACGGCTTTTTAATGGGATCTCCTTTCTGTGCTCTTGATTCATGTAGATTCAATTCTCAGTGAGCTTCTAGAGTGGCTGTTGGTTTTGGATGTTGTATTATTTTCCCTTAGCTTGACAGCAGTCAGCAGGAAATTATGGGTGGTCACAAAACTTTACAGATTTCAGCAGCAAATAGTTGTGGCAAAAACATTTCTGTGTAGCAAACAGAGATTCAGCAACTAGCAATATAGTAGGGAAACTCATATTTGATTTGAGTTCATCATCTTGAAGATTTTTTTGAGACACAAGATCTTGTATTCCTTCCAGAGCTCATTTCTTTATCAAGAGAGTGGTTAAAAACTGTAATTTATTGTCTGATCCCAAATTTCTGGCTTAAAATTTCAGTCCTGACCACAACAGACCACAAAATTGCCTTAACAAAAAGGGTGAAAAATGTAAATGGGGGAATTTCTGGCCACCAGAGAGCTGTGCATGAAGATTTATTGGGTACTTCAACAGAATTAAGAGCCTACAGGTCACTGTAGCCAGCCTAGGTTAAAGAAAAACCCCATGTATCAGTGGTGATGAGAACCTAAAGGAGTCCTTAAGGTATCTTATTCCTCCTTGCTTTCTGTTCTGTGTACACCCTGCTTAGGATTCAGCCTTCATGGTTAACCACATGCAAGAATGCACAGAATGGTATCTCATTGAGAAAGTGAATATTCCAGAAATGGACTTATAAAGGACAGAAATGGCATTCCCCCATGTGTTAAGTGAGGTAATGAAATAATTACATAAATGAATGTAGAATGGGATAACAGGCATGCTTACAACTCTGAATACAAGCCAGACAGTGAGCAATGCTAACAGGAAAGGAATAAAATTTATGCAAGGCCCTATGGTGGTTAATAACGGTCGTGATAAATAGTAAAGTACAGAAGAGCTAAACTCAACCTCTTTGCTACAGCTAATTACAGGCTCAGGTGGAAGACAACCACAAGTTTCTCCTCATAATACTTCCTACTTCAAGCCAAATAAAATAAGAATAAGACACTTGGGGGGAAAAAAAAAAGATAAACCATACTTTCTTGCTTGAAGTACAACATTGTAACAAATGGTATATTTTTCTTGATTGAATGATAATATAATGTAAGATTGTTACCTACCTTAAGTTCTCTAAAAAAGATGCTACTCCTAGCCCACTCAACAATGGAGAAGAGGGTTTGGTCAGCCATTTTACACATAAGCCCAAATGTGTTGAGCTTCTCGTGTTTGCTTCTGTTGGCTTGCTCTTGCTGCAGATATGCCATGATCTTAGCTTGGACTTGTGGCTCGTCTGGCTCACATTTCAGGAGTTCCAATATCAGATGTGGAATACTTGCTGGTGAGCTTGTTTGATAACTATCCATGTATGAGTAGCCCATTATTGACTCTGGTGAACTAGTGTACGGGTCAGGGTACTCGGACTTGATAGCACGGCTTGGAAAATGGCCATAGGTTTGGTAACCTTGCAAACTGCCATGGGGTGGCATTGTCATACTAATTGGGGAGGTTACGAAGGGACTTCTGTCATAGTCTGTAGGAGGCAAGGCAGTATGGTTCAGAGGTAGGCCTTTGGAGGCAGAATGGATGTTCTGGATTGCAGAAGATATTGTCAGGTCAGTCGGCATTGCTTGGATCACCTGAGTCATGGCTTCCAGTTTAAGTCCGTTTGCTCTGATAAGAGCTTTCTTTTGCTGCTTCAATGCCCTGTCTCTCTTGTACATTGGTCCAAACTTGTTTCGACCGCCTCGCATTCGGTCAGCTCGCACAGCTGTCAGGGGAGAGGAAGGAAGTAAATCATAATTAAAACTTGGAATCAACATTCTTTAATGAAACATACATTAGGACAGAGCAGAAATGTAAAAATGTAACTTTTTTTTTTTTTTTTAAAGCTCAAAATATCAATTCTATTCCTAAAGAAAAAGATTTCTTTTGACTTAACAAATGTCGCTCTTTTTCTGATAATTTAAATATCACATGCATATATTACTAACATAGAAGGACTTCTCTTTACATTGATTAGGACACAGGGACAAACACAATGGTTGGCTACAGGAATTTCACACCTGCTATGGGATCATGTGGAGATCTCAGTGTATATTTGGTTTTATGTCAAGCTAACATGTCATTAAGAAACAAGGGCTGATGTCCAGAATTTGTCTGAGACGTATCCAGCGGACCACATTGTCTCATTATAATCATTCCATTACTGACTTCCACCGCAGCAAAACATCTGAAACGTAAATTGCGAAATGTTCAGTAGTCATAAAGGGGAATATGTTTTTCTGGGCAAAAAGGAAGTATTTCCTTTTGAAAATTCTGTTCAGGTTGGTGTAAAACTTTAAGAGATTTCGAGTTAGCTGAACAGCTCTACAGAAATGTTTAGCTGCAGTTGGAATGTGCAGAGAGAAAGCTGTCAGCTTGCTGCCTTCCACACAGAAGGTGGAAGTGAAACAGAAACTATTGACACTGTTCCGGCTTGTAATATCTTTGGAATTAGAAATAATTAAAACAAATCCACTTCAACAGCTGCCTTGGGAGTCATACTGGTGGTCTCTGTCACAGCAGTGTCTGTCACCATGGTATATATGTAATGGACTAGCGAGGAGCTCTCACCAAGCCCACCTTGCCCAACGGCAATTAGATTGAAAGAGGAACCTTTGACAGCCTGGTGACATGTTGAGACTGCTGAGATTGCTGGAGGTTAAGTTCTTGAGCTTTTTATCTTAGGGATTAGTAGAACATTAAAAATTTATTATGAATGCTAGATACGCATAATACTGTACATTATCATAAGGACTTTAACGTTTAATGATTTTTTTGGTCCATGGTAATTTATGAACTAGACTTTAAGGCTATATATATTGCTATCAGGGAAATACACATATAAATGTCACAAGTATTTACAATTATGGAAGCACGTGTTCTTCCAATTTTCTAAACAAAGGAAGAGAAGTTGTATGGATGTGGGGATAAGGAAGCCAGAGTACATTTTCTAGAGTGTCTTTAAAACTACAAGCACTTTGCTTTAATTTGTAGTAAAAATGCTGCTGCTAATGTTGCCGTTGAATGTTGATTTTGAGCAAAATGCAGGAAATCAAAATAATTAAATCAACAGGGTGATAAATGTAATTAATTTTAAATCTGTATACATAGTATCCTCCCAGGTATTCTACAATTAAAAACTTGGAACCAAAATGGATTAATTAGTATAACTCCTATAGAAATTAAGATGAACTGCATGTAATCACAGAAAACAAAATTTGGTCCTGCACCATTGTCAGCAACTGATAGGAGTTAAAAGTAGGAGGAGATAAAGGTATTTTATCCTTATTCTTAACGTCAACAATGAGAACAGGATTCCAAATGTCCTGTTATTGTACTATTTGAATTTGGAAGAACATGCAGTGATTCAGGATGTTTAGTGCAGTGTGTCAGTGCTAGCTCTGTCTTGTAGGCAAACAGAACAGTATTGAATCCATAAAACTGCAGGAGACTGATTTTTCTGTTTATCTTCAGTTACATCAACAGCTTTCCTTTGCCAGACTCGGTGATTGGGTCTTATCCTTTATGGTTCCGTTAATGGTTTATGGTTGCCCTCCTTGGCCTGATTTTTCCTGGTTAAGCGTCTAGGGTGAATGCCACTTCAGTACAATTGTAAGAATTAGGAATTTAGGGCTTGTCCTTGGTCAAGCAGAAATGTCATTTGCTGTGAAATTGGAATTTTAATATTTTATATATCAAAGTCAGAATGAACTGTGTATGATTCTCAAATTCAAGTTGATAATTTTGCATTCGGTTATCTCAAAGGGTATTGTACACTTTTCATTGTTCTCTGTGCACGAGAAAGTGAAATGAAGTCCAAAAGTATACTTCAAAGAGCCTTATTCTCTTTCATTTGTAATGGCATCTCAGGTGTAGCATCAGAAAATATAGGACACAATTTTAGAGATTATTGGGTTCCTTAATCCCAAAGGCAAGTCAGTGTGAGAAAAAAACCTCTTATTTTATCTGTTTTTCTGTTTTCTGGCTTATTGTCAGAAGAATATATTTTAAAAAAAACCAACTCTAGATAAAATATAAATAAAATCAGATCACTCTCCATAATGATGACTAATTATTTTTTTTTTCTAATCTGGACACTTCTTACATATTTTATGTTTAATCTAAACTAAGTCTTTAAAAAACCTGCAAAACTATTATATCTAGACCCATTCCTTCATAAACTTTAAAATACTGAAATATCCAATTATATACGTATATGAAAAAATGGATTATGGTTTTGAGTAGCTGTTAGTGATTTACCATTTACATGATAGATTTTTTTTAATGAAGTGACAGTTTAATTGGGCACACAAAGTCACCTTTTACTATAATTTCAGAACCACAATAAATATGTAGCATTTTAAAAATAAAATAGCATGTAATAACATATATAATCCTATCATTTTCAAAATCAATATATAGTACAGTTAACAATATCAGCAAGACTATAGCTCTTACCTTCCAATTTCATTCCAACACTTAGACATTTTTGAAATCGACAGTAAGGGCATCGCTTTCTCTGTGTTTTGTCAATCTGGCAATTCTGATTTTCTATACATGTGTACCTTTTGTTATTCTGGACTGTTCGCTTAAAGAATCCCTGTGTGATAGATACAAAAGTTAGCCTGTTTTGCTTGAACAGTGAGTTTCAGCATTTTATTTTATGGAAATCATTGTAACATATTTTTCAGACACCACTCAAGGATTTATGAAGTTACATAGTTTATTTTAAATTACAGTGAGATGTACCTAGGAGAAAACCACCAGACCCCAGAAGAGGTTTTCTTGTATTAGTGCTGTTTTATAAACTTACATCAAAGCTTGGTAAAACTGGCTGTAGTCTGCTGTGCCCCTAACAGTGGTAGCAGATAGCGGGGCTGACTAGTTCCTTTTGTGTTCTTTAATCACTGCAAAATTATTAAACTTTTCCTTTTAAAGTAGTTTTACATGAAATAAGTAGGGACACTGTTGCAAAGACAACAGAAATACAAAGTACCTCTGGCTACTGTACATCCCAGTGGTGCATGCCAGAGGCATAATAAGTGCTTGTTGTTCATTTCTCACTGATTATTTTTTAATGAAAATATAATGTGCTAAGTTGATTTTCCCATGCAACTATTTATTTTAAATTGCATTGTTTTTTCAAAGGAGTTTCTTTTACAGTGCATTACTTAAATAACTGTAAAGAACTTTAAAAAAATTTTACATGACAAGTTTGAAATGCAATAAATTTATAAGTATTTAAACCCTTTAGTATAATGCAACCATGCAGCTATATTTATCTTCCAATATGATCAGTTGCATTTACAAATATTTTATTCTCAAAATTAATGAATGATCTAAAACAAATCATACATTAGTTACTTGACTTTGTGTATCAAGTGAGCTCTGACAGTTATAGTTTGTATGAAAAAAGTGCATGGTCATTATAGTCACAGAAATTTACATTGTAATACTGATGGATGAAAAATATCTTAAGAAAGCTGCTTAAATTTTGCAAAGCTCATCTGTGTTGGGGATACTTTTCCTACTTTATCTTCGAGGAGCAGAATACTCCAAATGTATATTAATCAACTAAAATCGATATTTAGGGCAGTTAGGAATTGTTCTAAAACTACATCACTTCATAACAGCAAAATACTTAAAAGCAATGATAAACCTACAATCCAAGTTGTTTCCATTTGTGCAGGTGAGATCTCTCCAAGAGACTTCTAAATCCTAAAGCTTTTTGATTGTTAATTTTTTACATGAGTGTAACAAGAAACATATCAGAAATAAGCTGAATTATTACACATCTGTTTTCTTATCATTTTTCATGCTTATATTTGAAACTTTTTTTGTTGCACTTGTGCTTGTATGAAGTAATTAGAACAGAACCTTGCAGCTTTCACAGGTGAGAAGTCCATAATGGTACCCAGACACTTTATCTCCACAGACTGGACACAGTTCTTCAAGGTCTTCATCATAAGAGTAATTCACCATTTTAAACTGAGACACTGGGGAAAGGAGAAATAGCACATTCAATTAGAATTTACATTAATAACTCAAATTTTCTGCGACTGTTCTCATCTAGAGAGAAAACTCATCACCACACACAGTATTGCAAATTGGGGGTGGGGGGTGAAGTTTTATTTTTAAAAACACAGCTTGCATCGAGATAGGCAACTTTTCATCAACAGCAAATCTGCATATTACTTAGCAAGCGGAACAAAAACCTTCAGCTCCTCAGTTTTATGTTCTAAATATTTGTATTTACGGGGTGCCCTTAACCTAGTCCTTAGTTTATGGAATCACAAACTAAATGAATTAATTTAAATCCAAAAATGGTCAGGGGCAAGCTTTAAAAAAAGCAGAACGAAAAAATTAAGTGTCACTTGCGTATTTAAAGTAACTCACTTCGTTTCCTTTGAAGTTTTCTTTCCACATCAGCCTGCAAATATTTACTTAGCGTAAACTTGTATCTTACAGACCCAGCACTTTTTTGCGCCGCGTTAAAATGCAAGTTACTTCCAAAATCAGCTTAAGACAACGTCCTCCGCGCCCCCCGAACTCGTAGTCTGGGGGTGACCGCCCGAGCCAGCTCTCTCCCCCCGCCCGCCCCAGCCCCCGGTTTCTCATCCAGCGGCCCCGCCGCGACGGGGGAGACCCTTTTAGCCCCCGGCGGCACGGCTGCCGGCGGGTCGGCAGAGAGACAGCGGGTCGGGACCCCCGTCCTCCGGGGGTGCGGTCGGGGTCTGCCCAGCCGGCGCCCCCCGGTACCGGCGGGAAACCTGCGCGCCGGGGCCGCCTGAAGTTTCTGCCGCTCGGGGAAAAGGCGGGGAGGAGCCGGCCGTCAGGAGGGGACGAGGTGGGCGTAAAACAAGCTGAATGAAGGCACAGAGCTCGATCACTCGAGCCGGGCTCCCCCCACAAAGAGCCCAGTCAGCCGCTCTGGTTATTCCCAAAAAGAAACCTCTCCGCGGGGCCGGTTTCCTTCCCCTTCCCTGCTGCTGAGCCTCCGACCTGCTCCACAAGCGCAGCGGCAGCGGAGGACTCTTGAGCAAGGCGAGAGGCGCCGGGCATCGCAGCGGCACCGCTCAGGATGTCGCCTCTGCCGGTAACCCCGCGGCTGCCACAGTTCGAGGACACCGGAGCGGTCAGAGTCCGCCCGAAGCCCCCGGGCTGGGCGCCCGGCTGGGGGCGCGGGAGCTGCGCGCCCCTCCGCCAGGGCAAGGGGGCTGCGTCCCGGTGCTGCTCGGGGAGCTACCGAGGAGCTCGGGGGGGGCATTAACCCGTCAGCACGCAGCCGGGAAAACGTTTCCAGAGAGATCCCGGCACGGCCGGGGATCGCTGCCTGCCAACGGCGTGGGGCGGACACGGGGCGGCCGCAGGCGGAGGAGGAGGAGGGCCCGGCCCTCCCCTCTGCTCCCGCGGCCGCGGCTCCAGGGCCCGGCGCTGGGACGAAGTTCCCCCTGCTCGCAACAAAATCCAAGTGGGAAAGCAGGGGTTTTCCGAGAGCCGTGCCTTGGCACGGCGCCTCCGCGGGCGAGGAAAGGGGGGGATTCGCCGCCCCCAGAACCTCCGAGGCCCCTGGCCCACCCCGTCTCTGGTTCCCAGCAGGCTCCCGGGAGGAGAGGGGAATCATTTCGAAAGAGTAGACGGGATAGGAGTTTCTGCCTCGGGAGAGGCGCGCAGGGCAGGGCGGGGCGGACAGTGCCCGCGTACCGGGCTGTGCCCCCGTACCGGGCTGCCAGCACCGAGGCAGGGAGCCGACCCCCCCGCAGCAGCCCTCGGGCGGGGTGTCCGCCGCTTCCCTCCGTGCGGGGTACGGGGAACAGTCCCGTCCCGTCCCACAGAGGCATTTCCAGCTCCATCCCAGCTGGGGCATCCCGCTGCCTTCTGCCCCGCAAACGCGCAAATCCGCCGCGGCGTCGGGGCTCTCTGCTGCGAAGTTTGCCAGCGCCGCCGCTGCCACCTGCGCCGTGCCTGCGGGCGCCGCACCCGCGGGACAGAGCCCTCGGGGCCCCGTTTCGGGACGGTGCGTGGCTCGCAGGGTGCTCAGTAAGACTTCCCCGCGTAACTCCCCCGGCCGTAAACTTCGAGTCAGTTTTGCGCGCACCGGGGTCGAGACCGAGATCTCCCCTGATCTGCAGCGGGGACGGTGTCCCCGAGCAGTGACCGGCGGGGTCTCGCCGGCCAGATGCTGCACGGTGCCCCGGCCACGGTTGCACCTCCCGGCTGGGGTCTTGCCGTCGCCTCGGCGCTGGTGGCCCGCCCCCCAGTGCCCGCCCGAGCCACGCTGGAAGTTGGCCCGCGAAGGCAGGGGCTCGGCAGGGCGCGGAGCGGGCGGCGGCGGGAAGCTCACAGTCAGCAGCCGTAAACTTTTTTGGCAGGACGAAGGGTCGGTTTGCTGAGGGGGGCCCGAGCGTGCGCGGAGGGGGAGCGCCGTGCTTTTCCCCCCTTACCTTGCATGTTTTCCGGCATCTGCCCCTGTTCCCCATTCGACCGGGCGAGTCCCAGGGCCTCCGTCTCGACTTTGGGCAGCATGACAAGGCGGCCGCGGGCCGGGGTGGGAGCTCCGTGTCCGTCCGCGACACCAGCACCTGGACACGGCAGCACAGATTTAGCTGGAGCAAGGGGCGCTCGGCGGCCGCTGCCTGTTCCTCCTCCTCCTCTTCCCTCCCTCTGCTCCACGCCAGCCCTTGCCCTTCTGCAGCGGGAGCAGCGAGCGGTCCCGGCCGCCGGGAAGAGCCGCCGGGTGCCCGCGGCTGGGGGAGCCGCGGAGCGGCAGTCAGGCTGCAATCAGCGGGGGCGGAGAGGAAAGGAGGAGGAGGAAGACTGGGGGGTGCCGGGGAGGAAGGAGGAACCCCGGGAGCCCGCAGCAACTCCGCCCGGGGCTCAGAGCGGAGGCAGCCCAGCGCCCCGATCCATGCGGAGCGGCACAGTGCACGGGAGCGCTCTGCCGCCGCTGGTGCTGCTGGACAGGGTTCCCACCCCCGTCCCCCTCCTCCCTTCCTCCCTCCTCCTCCTCCTCCCCCTCTCCCCCCCGCCACAAGTGCGGAGGTGCCGAGTCGGGACCTCTAGCCCCGGGCCCGCGGGGAGGCGCTCCCTGAGCCCGGGGGCTGCGGGGCGCGGGGGGCTCCGGCGGAGGCGGGGGGGGCGACACCACCCTTGCAGCCAATAAGGCAGAGGCGGGATGAGCAACACCCGCCGCGCACACACACGCACCGCACACACACGCGTAGGAGCACTCACAGTTGCCCAGCGCGATCACCCTCTGCCCGGTTGTTAAACCGGGCTTCGGGGTGGGGTCCTGGGATGCAGCCACCCCTCTCCCCCCCAGCGGAGCCCAAGGGGCCACCAGCTGCGCCGAGCCGGGCTGCGCCTGCCCCCCCTCCAGCGGTGTGCCTCCTTGCCGGCGGGCAGCCCCGCTCCAGCTCCCGTGGGGCCGGCGGGGCAAACCCCGCGCCCGGCCAGCGGCGGCTGCGGTGACCCCGACCCTCGCCTTCCCTCCAGGCGGGCGGGGGTAGTCAGCGGAAACCCCTGCGCTTGGAGAACCCCAGCCCTTGCGTCCACATTGCCGCCGCGCAAAAAGCGGGCGGGAGCCGCGCTTGAGCTCGCTGTACCTATTCGGGCTTTTTGAGTCTCCCTCCCCTAAACTTCTTGCGAAATCTGTCGGTGCCAGTCGCACCGTTTGCACAAAACCTAGTTCCCTGGCAGAGCCGTCGCTTGAGCAAGAGGCTCCCTTTCCCGGCTCACGGTGCACCAAGCGGCACTCATTTCCAAGTTGTCCCAAAGAACTCGTTTCTCGCAAGCGGGTGTCTCCGGGCGGCCCCGCGGCGTGGCGTGGCGGGGGGCCCGGGGGCGGCGGGGTGCCGTGCCGCCCGGCGAGCCGGGACGGGGGGGTCTGCCCGCCCCCGCTGCCCTTCCCACCCCTCCCACGCGTGGAGCGCCCGGGGGACTCCGCGCAGCTCCCACTGCGGCGCGGCGCTTTGGCGGTGTGGGATGAGCGATATTTGCACCTTTGGAAGCATCCGAGGCCCCCGCCCGAGCGCCTGGCTGCCCGTGCTCCTCTGACACTTTCATCTCCGTTGTGTATATTAAGAGACGAAAACATTTGGCGGGGTGAAAATTGCTTCCGATTGAAAGTGAGGCGCGGAACCATCTCCAGCGCAGGGTATAGCATTTCCTATCGATTGGGATAGAGTTTGTGAAAACTGACCCTTGTTGTAACTTATTAAGTATTTGTGATGATCGTAAGGTGACCAGTGGTGGGACAAGCCCTCCACGTGCCGAGAGCGGGCTCGGCTGTGCTCTTTCCTAGACGGTTTGAACTTTTCCCATCCAGTAACTGGAAAAAGAGACCTTTGCTTAATTCAGCGCAGAGCCCGAGCTAACCTAACATCAGCACCACTGGGGTAGAAAAGATCTTTTTCTTTCCTTCTCTGTGCAGGGATTAACATTTTGGGGATGGCCCCAAGGCGCAGAGGCTCGGAACTCTCGGGCTCCCTCCATTCTCACCCCTTCCCCGTTCCCCGTCGTGCGGGAGGGGGAGCAGGTGAACTTTTGATCCGCATCAACACGGTATTTCTCAAGTTATAATTTCACAGTTTAGCAGTTCGCTTGCGACGAAGTTTTAGGACGGCAAAGTGGCGAGCGTTGGGAAAGGCCAGCTCGATGGCTACGGCGGGGTGGATGGAAACCATCCCGAGGGAATGCCCTCGCCTCTAGGCAGAAGCGGCTCGGGCTGAGACCCCGTCTCGGCCCTTGGGAAGTTGTTCCTAGATACGTTAATTGCGAGCAACACCTCTGGCAGGCGTCTCCCTGTAGCATCGCCCTGCGCCGAGCTCGGCACCGGCGGCGTCCGCTGCGCAGCGGCGGCTCCGCTCCGCTACCCCGGGCGCCCGCCGGGAGGGGGTCGGGGCTGCGGGCCGGGGAGCCCCGCGGAGCGGCTGGGCCGCGGCCCTCCGGGCTTGTGGACCTTCAGCCGGGCCGCTTCAGCCTGCTGCTGGCCCGACGGGTGGCCAGAGGACGCCGGGGGCAGCTCGCCCAGGAGCTTCGCCTCCTCGCAGCCCTTCCCCGCAGGAGAAGCGTTGGCAGAGCGCAGCTCCGGCCGCATTTACAGCAGAGCGGTGGGAAGCGTAGCACACCTCGGCAGGAGACACCGAGGGACCTGCGTGCTCAGCTCGCTGGGCTCCGTCGGGGAAAGAGACGGCTCCTTCTCTCCGGCTCGCCGCCGGCTGGGTCACGCCGCTCGGCGACGCCCTGCCGGGGCGCTCCGTGCTGCGCTCTCGTTATCGCTGCTCCGGGAAAGGCACCCGCATTTTAGGCGAAACCCAGGGAAGGAAACCCCGCGTCCGGACAGGGGAGGCGAAACCGCCCCGAGCGTGTCCGGGGCCTGTCGCCACCCGAGGCTGGTCCGGGCCGGGCCGTCTCTCCCCGGCCAGTATTCCCCCCTGGGCACGGCCCTGCCACTAGTCCCCGGGCTCTTCGCTCCTAGTCGTGGACTTAATGTCATTCCGCCGGGGAAGGGTTTGGAGCGAGTTCAAACTGTACATCGCGAAGCCACTCCGCGAGCTATCGCTATGGATGAAAATACTTTGGAGTGGTTATTACACATCCACATTTCTCCGAAGTAACAGTTTAGGGCAGTACATATTATAAATGATACCTGGTCCCTTGTGGCTATATTTAATTTAACATGGAGTACTAGTTCTCACGATTGCCTTGAGCAACCTTAATTACCCTTTCTTCTAATCTCTTCTCCATTCCTTACTAACTTCTCCAAACTTTTTTTTTTTTTAATGTGATTTCTCTCCTGAGTTTGCCTGCCTTGTTCTGACTTTGCCTGAAGGTCTTGATTGACGCGTGTAATTATAATTATAAAAGATGATGGCTCGGGGAGCCTCCAGCAGCCTTGATTAGTACAAGCGGCAAGACCTGGAATATTTTATACTTCCCTATTTAAATGTATGTACATTTACATTAAAAAAACACGGTCTAATTTTAAATAATCTGAAGCTTCTCCCACCTCTTTGTTTTCAAGGTAGAGGGTTCTGTGTGATGATATTTCAAGGCAAACTCCAATTTCTTACAGCTTCTAAGAGGCCACAGAACCTGGGCAAATTTCAAAGCCTTTTTCTCTGAGCAGGGACATTTCCAACTTTGAGGGTCTGCTGGATGAGCAACAAATAGCACACTCCCTTCTAGCTTTGTGTCGGAAAGCGTACCAGAAAAGGTTTGATTTATTTTCCCAGCAAACTAGCGAAAGAGAACTTTTCTGGGGGAATGTTCGAGACAAACTTCGCAGAAGCAAATGAAATAAATAGATAAATGGAGGACTGAAAGTTTTTTGCTGGGAAGTCTAAATCCAAAGCCGATCAAAAAGACTTAGAGGGAAGCATTTCAGAAGGAAAGAAACCCGCATCCTGTCCTCCTTCCTCTCCCGTGGAGCATTCCCGTTTGCCGCCAGCCCAGAGCCGCTCTCACCCGTCACTCGCTGAAACCGGTGGCTTCAGCCAAGCGCGGGGCGAGAGTCACCGCCAGGCAGCCCGTCCCCGGGCACAGGCTGGCACGGACCCAGGCACCGAGCGGGACGGCCCCGGGCGCGGAGCGGCGCGGCCCCGGGCAGAGCCGGGAGCGGCCCCGGGAGAAGCCGCGGAGAAGGCAGCGGGTGGCAGGCACAGGACTCCTCTGCAGCTGGAAAAGTTCAGAACGCGAGTTTGCTGCTTCACCTCACACACCTCTCACGCCCAACTTTACGAGACTGTTTACACCAGAAAAGTGGTCCAATACAGGCTCTGCTCTACTCTTTTTTCCCCTTTACTTCTTTCCTTTCTCTCCCCGCCCTTCCTTCTCTTCTCTTCTCCTCTTCTCTTCTCTTCTCTTCTCTTCTCTTCTCTTCTCTTCTCTTCTCTTCTCTTCTCTTCTCTTCTCTTCTCTTCTCTTCTCTTCTCTTCTCTTCTCTTCTCTTCTCTTCTCTTCTCTTCTCTTCTCTTCTCTTCTCTTCTCTTCTCTTCTCTTCTCTTCTCTTCTCTTCTCTTCTCTTCTCTTCTCTTCTCTTCTCTTCTCTTCTCTTCTCTTCTCTTCTCTTCTCTTCTCTTCTCTTCTCTTCTCTTCTCTTCTCTTCTCTTCTCTTTTTTGTCTTCTTCTCTTCTTCTCTTTTTTCCTTTTTTTTCCTTTCATCTCATGTCTTCCCCCCTCTGCTCCTTGTCATAACCGGATCACCCCTACAGTAGGATGGGGAAAGTACCTCGAAACTTTCCAAATCCCGTAGCCAATGGGCTCCTCTCATCACTTTGCCGAGGAAATATTGCTTTTAATTCCTAGGGATTAATTGGAGCGGAGGCTGTTAATGCCTCCAACTCGGGCTTTACGAAGTTCTCTCTAGAGAACTGAAAAAAAAAAAAAACCCAAACAAAAAACCTCCAAAGAACCCCCAAACACAAGAATATACATTTTCCCTCCTGTATCTATTTTTGATCCACCGTCAGTGAAACAGAGTGGGTGCTTCAGGCTGAAACACTTTCTGTAGTAAAACGCACACCACTGAGGATCGCTTTCCAAAGCCTACTGCCTTTTTTTTTCCCTGCTGCGAATCATT